TTGGTTCAGGAGGGGAGGGGGACCGGGTCATGTATGTAGTGAACCATGTGTGATGCGTGTCTCCTCAGGTACACCTTCATGGATATAGACCTGGACTATGAGCGCCCCAATGTTGAGACCATCAAATGTGTGGTAGTCGGGGACAACGCGGTGGGGAAGACGCGGCTGATCTGCGCCCGCGCCTGTAATGCCACCCTCACCCAGTACCAGCTCCTGGCCACCCACGTGCCCACCGTCTGGGCCATCGACCAATACCGCGTCTGCCAGGAGGTAAGTGTCGTTATGTCCATGTGCCCGCCTCTCTACCTGTGGCCGTGCCTAATTACCGTCTGTGCTTGCCCAGCTCCTTCGTCCCTCCCCTCTTTTTACATGTGGGAGGAGCCTGGGGTCTCGCAGAGGAGAGTTGACTCTGTGTGTGTTTGTTCTCAGGTCCTGGAGCGGTCCCGCGATGTGGTGGACGAGGTCAGCGTCTCGCTGCGGCTCTGGGACACCTTCGGGGACCATCACAAGGACCGGCGCTTCGCCTATGGGAGGTGAGTGCCCGGCGTGCGCCCCCTCGGCGTTCTAGTTCATTCCAAAGGTGTTCACTAGGGTTGAGGTCAGGACACTTGAGTTCCTCCACACGTAAACCACGTCTTTATGGAGCTGGCTCTGTGCACAGGGGACATGGTGGGACATAAAAGGGCCTTCACCAAAGTGCATCTGTTGATATTCATCCCAAAGTGGGTTTGTGGGGCTGGGTACAGTTCTTGGCTGGTGTTCAGTAGGGTTGAGGTCAGGGCTCTGTGCAGGACACTAGAGTTCCTCCACACCCAACTCCTTAAACCGTGTCTTTATGGAGTTGGCTTTGTGCATGGGGAACAGTCATAATGGAACATAAAAGGGCCTTCACCTAAGTGCATCTGTTGATATTTGTGCCCATTCAGCCAAAAGAGCATTTGTGGGGTTGGGTACAGCTCTTGAACGAGAAGACATGACTTGAGGTCAGGGCTGTGTACAGGACACGTAAGTTCTCCACACCAAACTAGTGTACCTATCCCATACTATGGGGCCAACCATTTGTGGACACCTGACCATCACACCTGTCTGAGGATGTTGCTCATCCTCCAAAACTATTGCCAATAATATGGAGTTGCCCCACTTTGTGGCTATTCCATCCTCCAAAGTTCTATGGAAGCTTTTCCAGAAGAATGGAGGGTGTCTGTGTGAATTTTGTCCCATTGGTGAGGTCGGGTCCTGAGGTAAGGTACAGAAGACCGGGCTCACAATCAGCATTCCAGTTCATCACAATGGGGTTCACTAGAGTTGAGGTCAGGGTGGTGTGGTTCCTCCACACGTAAACCATGTCTTTATGGAGCTAGCTCTGTTCACAGGGGACATGGTGGGACATAAAAGGGCCTTCACCAAAGTGCACCTGTTGCTATTTGTGCCCATTCAGCCCAAAGAGGGTTTGTGCGGTTGGGAACAGTTCTTGGCTGGTGTTCAGTAGGGTTGAGGTTTGACCTCTGTGCAGGACACTTGAGTTCCTCCACACCAACCTGGTCACACCATGGAGTTGGCTTTGTGCATAGGGGACAGTCATAATGGAACATAAAAGGGCCTTCACCTAAGTGTATCTGTTGATATTTGTGCCCATTCAGCCAAAAGAGCATTTGTGGGGTTGGGTACAGCTCTTGAACGAGAAGACATGACTTGAGGTCAGGGCTGTGTACAGGACACAAGTTCTACACACCAAACTAGTGTACCTATCCCATACTATATGGCCAACCTTTTGTGGACACCTGACCCATCACACCTGTCGGAGGATGTTGCTCGTCCTCCGAAACCATGGCCATTGATATGGCGTTGGCCCCCTTTGTGGCTATAACACCCTTCACTCTTCAGGAAAGTCTTTCCCCAAGATTTTGGAGGGTGTCTGTGGGAATTTCTCCCATTGGTGAGGTCAGGTACTGATGTTGGGTGAGAAGATCGGGCTCGCATTCATTCATCCCAAAGGTGTTCAGTGGGGTTGAGGTCAGGGCTCTGTGCAGAATACTCGAGTTCCTCCACCCCAAGCTGGTCACACCATGTCTTTTATGGAGCTGGAAGTGTACTTACCCCATACTAAATGGCCAAAGGTTTGTGGACACCCGACCATGACACCTGTCTGAGGATGTTGTCCATCCTGTTCCAAAACCATGGCCAATAATATGGAGTTGCCCCACTTTGTGGCTATAACATCCTCCACTCTTCAGGAAAGTCTTTCCACGAGATTTTGGAGGGTATCTGTGGGAATTTGTCAGGTACTGATGTTGGATGAAGATCTGGCTCACAATCAGGTTCCAATTCACCCCACTGGTGGTCAATAGGGTTGAGGTCAGGGCTCAGTGCAGGCCATTATTATGGAGTTTTGGGGCTATAACAGACTCCATTCTTCTGGGAAGAGATTTTGGGGCGTCTGGCGGGAACTCGCTCAGCCAACAGAACATTGGTGAGGTCAGGTGCTGATGTTGGCCAAGTAGACCCGGGTCATAGTTGATGCTCAGTAGGGTTGAGGTCAGGGCTCTGTGCAGGACACTCGACTTCCTCCACCAAGCTGGTCACACCGTGTCTGTATGGAGCTGGCTTTGTGCACTCAAGAAGGTGTCCCTATGTTCCCTTGATGTTGGAGCTCTGGTTTGGAGGAACCTGAGTTGCCTTCACAAACTGGTCCCACCATGTCTGTATGGAGCTGGCACTGTACACAGGGGGCAGTCATGGTGGGACAGAGACGGGGCTTCACCCAACTGTGACCACAAGGCTGGAAGAGCTCAATGTCTATGATGTCCGGACCCTTCACCGGAGACGCCTGAACTCCATGATTGGGTGAGGGGTTCGCATACTCCTGGTTACACAGAAGGCTGGAGAATTGAGAAACGCACGCTGAAAACCAGGGACGTCCTCTGGAGCCGGAGCTGACGTAGTGTGATCGGGACTGAAATCCTCGGCCTGAACTCTTCCTGAATGGTATTAATCTGCCACAATTCATTATATTCATCATAGATCAGTGGGAGACATTGTGGGTTCTGTGTTAGTCGCTCGGCAAGCGCTCTCTGGTTATAAATATGTCCTGTATTGTACAGAACTGGGTGACCACCCACCCGCAGCCTTTGTATGTCGCCGTCTGAGCGGTGCCCCCCCACGCTGCTCTCATTTCCTGCCACTTCCTGTCTCAGGTCAGCCGGTTACTGTAACCAGATCTGATCTACGAGTCTCTTCCTCCTCCCCTATTCCAGTCCTGAAGAGTGACAACAACCCCGGCCAGAGACATGACTCATGTACAACCCCGGGGCCTAACCTGCTTCATTTCTTTCACATCATCTTACTTTTATTCTCTGCCGTCTGTCTAGTTTGGTCTCTGCTGGTCTCTATACCATCTCCTCTGACGTGTCTGCCGTCTCTGACCATCTCCTCTGACGTGTCTGCCGTCTCTGACCATCTCCTCTGACGTGTCTGCAGTCTCTATACCATCTCCTCTGACGTGTCTGCCGTCTCTGACCACCTCCTCTGACGTGTCTGCCGTCTCTGACCATCTCCTCTGACGTGTCTGCAGTCTCTATACCATCTCCTCTGACGTGTCTGCAGTCTCTGACCATCTCCTCTGACGTGTCTGCAGTCTCTATACCATCTCCTCTGACGTGTCTGCAGTCTCTGACCATCTCCTCTGACGTGTCTGCAGTCTCTATACCATCTCCTCTGACGTGTCTGCAGTCTCTGACCATCTCCTCTGACGTGTCTGCAGTCTTAGACCATCTCCTCTGACGTGTCTGCAGTCTCTGACCATCTCCTCTGACGTGTCTGCAGTCTCTGACCATCTCCTCTGACGTGTCTGCAGTCTCTGACCATCTCCTCTGACGTGTCTGCAGTCTCTGACCATCTCCTCTGACGTGTCTGCAGTCTCTGACCATCTCCTCTGACGTGTCTGCAGTCTCTGACCATCTCCTCTGACGTGTCTGCAGTCTCTGACCATCTCCTCTGACGTGTCTGCAGTCTCTGACCATCTCCTCTGACGTGTCTGCAGTCTCTGACCATCTCCTCTGACGTGTCTGCAGTCTCTGACCATCTCCTCTGACGTGTCTGCAGTCTCTGACCATCTCCTCTGACGTGTCTGCAGTCTCTGACCATCTCCTCTGACGTGTCTGCAGTCTCTGACCATCTCCTCTGACGTGTCTGCAGTCTCTGACCATCTCCTCTGACGTGTCTGCAGTCTCTGACCATCTCCTCTGACGTGTCTGCAGTCTCTGACCATCTCCTCTGACGTGTCTGCAGTCTCTGACCATCTCCTCTGACGTGTCTGCAGTCTCTGACCATCTCCTCTGACGTGTCTGCAGTCTCTGACCACCTCCTCTGACGTGTCTGCAGTCTCTGACCATCTCCTCTGACGTGTCTGCAGTCCCTGACCATCTCCTCTGACGTGTTTGCCGTCTCTGACCACCTCCTCCTGACGTGTTTGCCGTCTCTGACCACCTCCTCCTGAGGTGTCTGCCGTCTCTGACCACCTCCTCCTGAGGTGTCTGCCGTCTCTGACCACCTCCTCCTGAGGTGTCTGCCGTCTCTGACCACCTCCTCCTGAGGTGTCTGCCGTCTCTGACCACCTCCTCTGACGTGTCTGCCGTCTCTGACCACCTCCTCTGACGTGTCTGCCGTCTCTGACCACCTCCTCTGATGTGGCTATAATGAACGTGGCCGCCTCCACCCTGGTCACATGATCTGGGGTTATAGGGGGAGATCTGAATCCAGGTGAAGCTGCTGATTGGTCCTCTCTGAGCCCCCAGTCACGTCCTCCGCTGGTCAGGGTTTTGGGGGTGGAGCATGAGCACGGTGGGAAGGTAGAATATTCATCCATTTCTATACAGGGGCCCCGTAGGGTGTTATAGAAGGGCCCGGGACGTATGAGGATCCTCCAGAAGTCCTCTGTCACTTGTCATGTCTTCTCCGTAGGTCGGACGTCGTGGTTCTGTGCTTCTCGTTGGCCAACCCCTACTCTCTGCGCCACGTCAAGAGCATGTGGCTCCCAGAGATTAAACACTTCTGCCCTCGGACCCCCGTGGTGCTGGTCGGGTGTCAGCTGGACCTGCGATATGCCGATTTGGATGCCGTGAACCGCGCACGTCGCCCCCTGGCAAAGTAAGTCGCCCCCTTCCTGCCTATCGATGGGGCGTGTGTAGCCGCATACCAGACGGCTGGGCCACCGACAGGGCTCCCCCTTGACCACTACTACTGTACAAATAAAGGGGTGGCCATGGACCGGGTGCAGCACAACGTTCCCTGACCAGTTCTAGGACCAGGACATACTACACACACCCCAAATACCTCGTCGTGGGGGGCGGACCCTCTGACACAGTGTTTCTAAACGTTGTTCAGACGGGACACAGGGGGATAAGATTTGTATCTTCTCTGTTGTCATCTAAAGGGTTAAAAGATCATTTTCTTGTTGCCCTTCCATGAAGAGGAATGACATGACAGGTCTCCTTTTAAATTATCATTTTGCCCCATCGTTGGGGGTTGGACACGAGCAGGTAGGACTATGCTGAATGGCACAATGGAGCAATTTGGGGAGATGGAAGGGAGGGCGGGGTGTCATTTGCCCCAGAACAAGGTAGGGGAGGTGGTTAGGAGCCAGTTGCCCCAGAACAGGGTTGGGGAGATGGTAGAGGGTCACCTACCCCAAAACAGGGTTGGTGAAGTGGTGGGGGGGGGGGGGGGGCACGGCCCCGAA